TTCCAAAACGCGACATTAATTTCTTGACAACCTAATATTTTACTATTTCCCCTACTTTTCTGCTGAAATATTATTCTTGAATAAATTAAAACAATGACAGTTGACGAATTAAATAATTTGAAAGACTAATGGACGGGTCTATAGTATGCAGGCATACTTCTAGCTTTCTAAGCCCTTATGATATGAAATTTTCAATAATTTCCGTATATATAAATGTATGTAGTTTTAACACAGAATGTCAGTGAAGGAAGTAACTAAGTTTCTTTCACCCTAGTTACTTATTGCACTAGATAATTCACCTAATATGTCACGTGCGTTTTATCGTGGGAAATATTTCCATAAAATTGAACACACTGTATAGAAATGGACAGTGATATTTTCTTTGGAAGATCATGCGATACCTTAAGGATAATATCCCTTTATTTTTTTATGGGAATTACCAATAGACACAAGAGTAGTGCATGCACCCTGAGAAGAATAACATTGTTGTTTTGTATATATAATGCTATGTTTTTTCATTGTGGAACAGATTATTTAGTGTAGCTTACACGATTATTCTTAGAGAAGTCAGTGCCCCTGAGAAAAACACAGGTCAACAATATTCAATGAATTCTCTCCAGCCTGAAAGCTTATAACGCTAAAAACCTGGTTTCGATACCGATGGTGGGCACAACACAGAGAGACCAAGGTGTAGTTTTGTGTTTATCAACAAACAAACCAATCTCAATAAATTGAGCGGCACTAAGTCTAGTAGATTTTGTTTCAAATGGCAAAATCACTATTGATTATTTTTCTGTTGATGTGTCATTCAACTTGTTATTTAAACATATATTGGTGTAGTTCTAGAAGATTCTTGTTTTTAATTTTTTTACCTTCTTGTGGCTCAATGATAAGTCTGATAGCTTATAGCTCTAAAAATCGGTTTTCAATAACCTCAGTGGGCAGTGGATAGATGTGCCATTGTATTTGTGTGTGCTTAAGAACAAACACTATTATTATTATTTACAAAACCAAAGCACTGAAATGAAAGTGATATCGATGAATTTCTTATGTATAATATATCTTTTAAAAAACAGAAATGGAACTACATTACATTATCTAGACTCTAAAGGGGTACGAGAACTCTTCGAAGCTCGTGTGAATCCGTCACTTCATTAATTTGTGTTAGTGTGTTTGTTTCACCTGTTTTTAAATAAATTTTGGTGTGGATCTATAACACTTTTTATCTTTATTTACTTATTATTATTAATTTTTTTATAAAACTAAATCACGTATATAGCAAAAAATATCGTTAAGTTTCTCATTTATTTATCTTATCTACTTTAAAACATAAACAGTCAAGAACACCGTTAAAGTTCAGACAATGAACGTTATCGAACTGACATTGGATAAGATTATACAATGTTATACCAGTTAAATCGTTTGGATACTTACAGGCCAGTAAAGATCCACCAGGTGGTTAAAAGGCTAGGGAAACATATACGATTAATGAAGACTTGAAGCTATTGAAATTTTATATTAGGAAATACAAGGCTTAGTAATAATTTAAGAAAAAAACGAAATAAATTTTTATATCATTATTAATATTTACAAAATCATAGTAATTTGTATACACAAATTATAAATATGAAATGATATTACATGTGACATCTGGTGTTTAATACTATCGATAGGGATGACGATGGCAGCTGTTTTGTTTCGATGGTGTAAAGTTTTGCTTTTCTTCCTATTTCTATTTCTAGTTGAGGGAAGAAAACATCATTTAAAACTTATTGTAAGTATATTAGACGTGTCGGTTGTTATTCAGTATTAATATAATCGTGAATGTATTTAATTTTTACAAATATTCAAACAGCACGATTTAATATTAGTATTAAATTTAATTTAAAACTAAGACTTAAAGAATAATATGAATAACATCAGCCGTGTCTGTATTACATACCATAGACTATATTATTGATACATTATAGTATAGAAAAAAATCACGATCAGTATTGTCGGATCTTCCGTCTCTCAGCGGTAAGCTTTGGCCTAAGTTATAATGCGACAAATCGGGTTTTAATGGGTGGGCACAGCACAGATACTGTTAATATTATGTACTATATAGCTTTATGCTTAAAAATAAACATTTGTATCACATACTATCAGTCATCTACGTCAGTGTTAATTAAATATTTAACTTTTTTAAACTATTTTCATGATTTGTAGTAAAATGTATAAGAGACACTTGGTGTGATTTTACAATATACCATTTAATGACTTATGATGGGACACATTATATATTGTAATTAATAACATAACATTAAGAAGTATAGGTAAGATGTAATTCTTTATTAATTTATTCTAGTTGCCTGTTATTACTTGGTTCAGAGTGTATACTTGTAATATTATGGTGTAAATGAATTATTGGAAGGTTTGGAAACATGTAATGGTTCACCAATGTAGTCGATTAAAGATTACACATTTGCAATAACAACAGATGCATACAAAACTGTATAACAAACAAACACAAAAATTAAACATTGAAATATTTCAAACCGTTTATCATATTTTGTGTTTCTTATGTTGTGTGAACGTTTATTTGTACCAGTATTCAACATTTGAAGCAACTACCATACCCTGAAGTACTCAGATAACTATAATTATCTTCATTGTATATTTTATACATTTACCATGATACTGTTCTCATGTCCGTCATCAAAAGAACTATTGTTGTTGTCTAAGAATAATTAGAACTTGGATTCATTTTTAATGGAAACAAAATTTTCATTGAACTTGCTGGCATATAGTGTCATAGTTGACATAGCATGAAGAACTCTTGGCCAAATTGCTTGATTGGTGTTACTGTATGCTGTATATTTTCATGTATGTTTTAATTTCTATTTTGTAGTTTTGTGATACTGTATTTCTGAAGAAACAACTGAGATAAAAGAAAATAGTAGTTTTATAGAGGGTTGAGTATGATATACAAAAAACAATTTTATATATGTAAACCAGCAAGTTATGTAACAACCACAGCTAACATAAAGTCATGGTGGAACAGAATGTATCAGAACTACATTATAACATTGTTTGGCATTTTGTAAGTAACATGATGCCACAGAAAACTGATTGCTTTTGAGATGGCTATGTAACAACCCATCCCATCACAAAGTATTCATACATTCAGGTCATAAAATGTACTCAGATCGAGGAATTAGAATTTTCAAGACTGTGATAACCCTTATACTTATAGGCATTGGAAAAAAAAAGGAATGTGGATTAACTTGGGGGCATCAGGACCATCCAGAAATAGACCTGCAGTAAGTTATACCACAACCATGGTAGGCAAACTGCAGTGTTTTGAAACAGGTTAGAATTCATGAACAGAAAGGTCAGTGGCCAAAGCCATCCTAATGGCCCAGGTAACAATACACAACATAAGAAAGATCTGTATGTGTAAAAGTGATTTAAGTCTCATGTACGCAAGTCGCTTTCAGGACATTTCCATTCAATCTTTCTATACCTCAACCAACTAGAGAATGAAATGGATATTCATGCTATTCCATGCAAAGATGACTCAGTGCCTGTGGATTTTTGTGTGATTGGACTGTTGAAATGGGAACTGTGGAACTGTAATTCTGATACACTAGATGCCTTATGGAGTAATTGTGTGATCTTGACATGACAGCCTTATAATGGACCCACTTTCAATAGAAACTACATTGCAACTCTATTGTCAAGATGCACAAATATGAAATAGAACATGACTGAACATGGTGACATGAGCTGTAATGATGTGGTGAAGCTACAAAACTGTTTTAATATAACATACTCAACTTCTGTATTACCATACATCTGTCTACTGATACAGCTCAGTTACTTTTAATTTGCAAGCATACAGTGATGATTGTAACTATTGGAGTGCTAAAATATCAGTTTCTACATTCTTTTTATTGAATAACTTCATAATTTTATAACATTATATTTATTCTCAGAGAATATGTCTTTTATATTACTTCTCTGTACCACGATGTAACAGTGAAACAATGTTTAGATTAAATTCTAACTTAAAATTAATAAATCGTCTCATTTTTTGTCGTCTTTTATTTGTTGAATGGAAGGTTTTTTTCCATTATATTTGAGTATATTTATAAATTTTATAAATTAATCTTTTCAGAATGATAAGCGTAGACATTTCTCTGTAAGCACGTTTGGATTTCTGAAAGGTGGAAGACTTGAAGTTCAAGTTAACGAATTATCGTTTACGCCATCCAGTCCGGGAGCCAAGGTGAATTCCATAGTTTTATATAAATAGAGATAGCCATGAATATACATCTTAACATTGCAGTAAAAACTGTTGTTTGATGTTGTGTAAAAAATATGAATATAATTTCTCACTTCATAAAAACTTAATAACATTGTTTTTCTATTTTAACTGTAATAAAGGTTACTATTAATTTACAAACACAAAAGCGACATGTCCACAGGGTGGTGTAGGGGATCAACCTCCCATTGGAGAACTCTGCCCCATCTGAAATATCATTATTTAATATTTTAAGATTTTCAGATTAACTAAGTTGTGACTCCCACTGATGTGAAAGTGTTAAATGTTTCTGCTCCTATATGCCCTCCCCTCCAGAAAAAAAAAAACCCTAAAAATGATGCTATTAACATGTAATAAATAATTTTGATTACACTGATATCAAATATTTTTTCCAGGTTGGTTTTAGTCTAACCAGAACAGTTAGTGATAGTGTGACTCCATATTTGGTGAGTTTTTTGTTGTTGTTGTTTTTCTGTTGATTTAAAGGTTAGTTACTTATAAATAAACATAGAGAGATTCAGCAAAAGTTCATTAACTGGGCTTAGCTAGTAACAAAATATTTTGTTATTTGCTGCTTTAAATTATATATTACTACTAACTAAATATTTCAAACTGTATAGTTTGTTTCAGCTTTTTGAAATCAAGCGAAAAATGGAGGAAAAGAACTGAACTGTTAAAAAGAAGATATTTTGTTTCTGTATTTCTACGTTGGCCTAAATTTTTCTAAACATTTTTCATGAGAGATTTGAATTTGTTCTTTTTATATTTTTCTTTCTATTGAATTAAAGTTTTTTTGAAGATGGTTTAGTTTGCGTTTAAAGGATTATACGTGCACACCACATAATATTCTGTTTGTTTAGAAATCTATAATCATTTGACACTTGTATAAACTGCAATAATCACTACAAAAATACATTTGTATATAATCGTGTTTGTTTCTCTTTTTCTTAGGAAAACCAGGAGAAGAAATGTATTCTTATGGATAACTCGTATGAAGACAATAGCATTGATCTAATATCATTTGTGTTAGATTTAAAAATAAAATGTAAGTTCACCTACTTCTGTTATAATTTGACATACTCTCTTTTCCTCCTAAGACCCATGACATCAAAAACTGATTTATTTAGAAAAACATGTTGTACATTTTATGAAGGAAAGCACACTCTGAGTATGAAGACAATAGCATTGATCTAATATAATTTGTGTTAGATTTAAAAAATAAAATGTAAGTTCACCTACTTCTGTTATAATTGGACATACTCTCTTTTCCTCCTAAGACCCATGACATCAAAACTGATTTATTTAGAAAAAAATGTTGTACATTTAATGAAGGAAAGCACACTCTGAGTGTAAGTCATGTTTTCATAACACAAATTTATTATTTTCATGGTCTGAAGTCGCTGCATCTGTGGTTTCTTTTGTATATATGTAACTCATAAGTCGTGTTGTTGATTTCTACAAATTTACCAAAATTTTGTGTGATAATTGTTCGTGTCCATTCAAGGCATGTACAAAATGCTTATGTAAGTTGCACACCATGTTGAGTAGCTCACTTTAGCCAATGCTACGTATTAAATTAATGTGTGGCTCATATAGATTGGAGTGGCAGCATTCATATCATGCCTCTTAGGATAAGTAATCAGCAGTTAGTACATGTTGCTTTCCAACCTAGCTAAATCGCTTCATATATACATAATCATTATTCATATTATTGTGTTCACTTCCTTTATCTAGGCCTAAAGATAGTTAAATAGCAATGAAACAATATGCATGGCCTCTTGCTAATCTAAATACCAAGATATTGGTATTAGTGATATTGATTGAAGCTGAATATATAAGTTATATAATGATTTATGATTATTATCATATCTACAGTAGAACTGTGGCTTCTCTTTAGTGTACAGTTCTATGGATTTACACAATCTAAACACTAAATTTAGGCCTAGATCTTAAATATGTCATAACACGTATGTAGCCTTGGTTTGATATCTACGCTCATGACCATTTAGATCCAAGTGAAAATCTATCTTCATCTTGGCTAGCCAACTGAGCTGTAGGAGTCAGTCATATGGTGGTATTTAACTATTGTAGAAAAAGTCTCCTGACAAGAACTTGGCCATGATAATTTTGGGCATTTGTGCTTACGTGTTTGAAGAGAGAAAAAACTTGTATATAAATAGGCACTTAAAATCTTAAAAATTCTAATGTAGCTTCATGTTGTAATATTGAATCTATTGTGATCTACAGATTTGATCAGGTTTAATAATTTTATGTATTTTTTCAGTATAAAAATCCTTTATTGTTGATTGATGTTTAATACATATTTTATCTTTGACTATTCTTGTAAAATACTGTTGTAAAGTAAATTTCTGCATGTTTAAAACTAAATAAATTTTTCTGTAAATTGATTTTTTATTTGTTCACTTGATGACTATTGTTTATAGTTACAGTTGAGAATTCATGAATTGTAGTACTGATTTTTGTTTATAAGACAAGAAACAAACTTTTGATCTTAAACTTCAAATGATTGGTACGAATTAATTCAAAAATACATTTTGTTAGTTAACCCTTATTTGTTTTTCAGACTCAGAGTTAATTGTAGCCAAGTGTTCTCAGCACTTCATATTGGAACCAATCCCAAATGGAATCCAACAGATCAAATCTCTAGTCGGAGAAAAAGAAGAATAGAAGAACTTACCAGTGATAGTTATCTTCTTATCCGCCGAAGAAGACGGTCTATTAATTGTAAAAGCTTTTGTTTAAGTTTTTTTTATAATATAATTTTTACATCGAACAGTTTCCTTCCTTGAAAATCTTATCAGTTAGTAGAATAGCTATATACATCATATTTAAATCCCACCTCACTGTATTCCTTCGCTTGTACTTTTGTCTTTGCAAACCATGTCAGTAACAAACTATGGCATAATCTAAGTATGTGTCTTATTCTCAGTTAATTCTGTATTAGAATTTATTGTAAGCTCTATGTTAATATTTTTCATTTCACTAGGTTTAGTCTCTTTTCAGTTTTAGCGACTTTATGGTCAGGTATGTCTTTTTTTTTTTAACAATGTTTTAGTTATTGGGCATGATTAGCAAAAATTTAAGTATGGATTACATATGAGGTATTTATTTTTGATATGATTGCTGTCTTATTCGAATGATGTTTGGTGCCAAAGCATTAAAGATGACTGTGGCTCTTTTCTTTCTTATGTTATGCATATTTTTATTTCAAAATGACAAAAAAACAAGAACAAATTATGAGTATGTATTATGTAAATAGTCAAGTAGGTTGTTGAAATACATCACTATAATTTTAAAAATGTTTTTACACTAATCTCGAAAGAGCATTAAGTGTTATATGCTTTATAAATAAAGTGTTTCATAGAAGTATTAAATGATTGGTCTTGCTGTATTTCCTCCTATTAATAAATAAAAAAAAATGTATATGTGTAAAATATTTTTCATCTTTTGGTAATTCTATAAATAGCATTGTTGTGTTATGCCAACAGCTTACAATGGTGGTCAGATTAATGAAAAGACCCAAGCATCTGTTAAGAGTAAGGAAGATGACGATGATGATAAAGAAGACAAAAACAGAAAAAATAGTGTAAAGAACAAAGTATCTGATACTAAAAACAATGGGGAAGTTGCGGGGGATAGTGATAACGGAGAAAGAAGCAACACAAATAAGTCTAGAGTTGATCAGGAAAAAGCTGTTGAAAATGTTATTGACCATAAGCGGCCACCAGATGGTGAATATTACACTGAAACGGAGGTTATGGGAAAGAATATCCAAAGAAATGATTGTTCTGCTCCTGTTTTGATACCAATCAACAAGACAGGCAATGTTTATAGTTTTCAGGTAAAATTAACTGCTCTGAATAATATTATATTATAGTTTTTGGTAAAGTTATTTGTGTATTAGTTAATATTCTCAACTACATTGAATGGAGTGAGTGTTATAGCTAACACTTATAAGATAATTTCTATTCTCGATATCGAACCGATTCAAAAACCTCCATTAAGAAAGGGTTTTCTCATTGGACGTTACCATCTTGATTGGTGTTGCATTTTAAATGTGGACTCCAAACTTTGTAATTAAATATTTCATAAAATATGAATTATTCTCAAGGGTCTTGACCCGTATTGTAAGGTATTTGTCGGGGGGGGGTCGCATATTCATTTGAATCAGATAGAAGATTAATTTCTTAGGAAGGCCCACGGGCCACTAGTTACTGTCATACATATTTTGTGACTGGATTACTTAAAAACAAAATCTGTAATCTTAGAAACATATGTAATAATACTGTAGATTTATAAGGGTGGAGGACCTGAACTCATTTGTATTACATAGCAGTTTATTTTGTGTTTCCAAAAGTATACTTATAATGGAGGAAAGCCTTCCAATTACTCCAAAGTTGGTATTATGAGTTCAGGAAAATGTTGTATTCTATAGATTCACAACTGATTTTATTAATCTTTTTAGAAAACATGTTTGTAACAAAGAGAAACTCTCAATGGCTCCAAACCTCATAATTATAAGGTTAAATTTTTTTTCTATTCTAGTTTTTTGTTTTGATTGGAGAGGATATCCACAAGGGACTTTACAGTTTATACTTTCATAACTGTGCTAACTACCAATTGCGAGACCAATCCACTGTGGTAAACCTGACTGTAAGTACTAAATGCCTTTTTAATTTCTGCACAGTTACATATACAATGTCAGCATTTACCAAACTATAGTTTTAGTTTTAGAAAACTAACTTGCATGAATGGTACTCTGCTAATATTTATGATTTATAATAACTTAAACCATCACATTCACAACCAGAACTAGAAATTTCAAGCATGTTTCGTGGCTACATCATTTTACTTTACACTCGCAAGTTAACTTCTCCGTAATAGCTCTATTGGTCTCGGAGTCAGGTCACGGGCTTAGTCACATGTCTGGTCCAGTGACCTAGGCCTAAAAATAATGTCAATAACTTTTGTTTTTCTGAAAAGTTAATTTTATGATCAGTTAAAGAACTTAATGTAAAAAAAAAAGATCATAATAAGAAAAATATATTAAATGATAATAATTAATAATATTAATACTCGTAATAAATATGTCTTATTCATTTCACACCTTTTGTAAATTGTATTAAGTTAGTCACACAACAATTGAGACAGCAATAAGTTTATAGACTTACAATACTAAAATCTGGGGTTTCATTCCTGGCAGTGGACACAGCAGACAGCCTAATGTGGCTTTGCTGTAAAACAAACAAACAACAACTAAATGGAGAGCAATAAAACAAAATTTTTCATTAGAGCATGATTTAGTGACTACTGCATTTTGTTCTAGAATCAAGGAAAGTTAGTTGGTCTTATACCCTGCTAAGTAAACCACCAGCTACATAACTAGGTGTACAGCTCTGCTTAAAGTAGGTACAAAAATCCTAGAGCATTCTACAGCTAAAACAAAATCCTAGGACATTGTACAGCCTATACAAAATCCTAGTGTATTGTACGGCCTATACAAAATCCTAGTATATTGTACAGTCTCTACAAAATCCTAGAGCATTGTACAGCTTATACAAAATCCTAGAGCATTGTACAGCTTATACAAAATCCAAGTGTATTGTACAGCCTATACAAAATCCTAGTGTATTGTACAGCTCATACAAAATCCTAGTGTATTGTACAGCTTATACAAAATCTAAGTGTATTGTACAGCCTATACAAAATCTAAGTGTATTGTACAGCTTATACAAAATCCTAGTGTATTGTACAGCTCATACAAAATCCTGGAGCATTGTACAGCTTATACAAAATCTAAGTGTATTGTACAGCCTTTACAAAATCCTAGTATATTGTACAGCCTATACAAAATCCTAGTGTATTGTACAGTTTATTCACTTTTATTCTGTATTTTCTATAATAATGTATGGTACTTACTATGAGTTTTTCATTTTTTGTGACTCCTGTATTCATATCACCTGTGTGTTTCCTTATTATATTTGGTACTGTATATATGTATGTGTTAGTATTTTAAATTGGAAATGGTAGTATTTTTGTGTTTTGTTCAGATGGTCATTACAGAAGAGAATCGAGGAATCTATCTATCGGCTGGAGAGATCCCCTTGCCTCAACTGTATTTTGGACTGTCCTTGGTTTTCTTTAGTCTTGGGTGTTTTTGGATTTATGTTATTAGAAAAAAGAAGTAAGTTTTTTTAATATATTAACAACTTCGCAACGTGGATTTACTAAAAAATTTTATATGCTAATGCTTGTCACCTTCTAATTTCCTAAACACTATCAGCGCAGTAATCTTTTTTGAAAATTTATATTCAAATTAATAGCTGGTAGACAAATAAGTACCTACAGAGACTGAAATGTTACATTCCAACATTCCTGAGGAATTTAACTTTGCTTGAGGAATTTCATCTTTTTAGTTGGCTATCTTGATCAGGAATGCGTGGTTCATCCATATTCCTTTAATTATGATCAATGAAAGTGTACATATTGCATGGATGAATTAAAAAAAACAATTCATGAGGAAATTCAACTTTACATGAGGGAATGTAATCTCCCCGATAGCTTTCCCTCGAGTGATCATAACTTTATTTCACTATTTCTATCCCTGTACTTAGAAATTTCTAGTTTTTAACACAACAAAATCATTAATTTCAGATGTTAAATTCAATAAAGTAAGCTTGTTTGATATTATTTCATTGGGAAAGCATGAAAATTACACCTAACAATGGGAAATTTTAAAATTACACCTAACAATGGGAAATTTTAAAATTACACCTAACAATGGGAAATTTTAAAATTACACCTAACAGTGGGAAATTTTAAAATTACACCTAACAATGGGAAATTTTAAAATTACACCCAACAATGGGAAATTTTAAAATTAAACCTAACAGCGGGAAATTTTAAAATTACTTGGAATTGACAATGTATAATTCATGCTTGTTTGTTTGTACATAAAATGGGTGATGTTTGAAGAATGATTTGCATTAAACTACAACTTAACTCCAGAGTGTAATTTGTTTCCCTAAGATATAAAAAAAGTACTACCATAGTTATAATCCATATAGATTTCATAACGTAATATTTTTATTAATATTAGTTGTTGTTTTTTCGTTTTAGAAGTAGTGCCAAGCTTGATTCATCAAGATCTACTGAAATAACCCTAAATCATCAGTTTTGGGAATGACTCCCGTTGACCATCCTAGGCTCCGTATTAAAAGATGCCAGGCTGGCTCATGTGGGGTTAAAGAATTTGGTCATTCCTCCTAAGTGCTGTAAATGTTTTCATTCATTTAAACAAAAGGATAATAATGGCACGCCTTATAAATAAACATCTTTATATACTGGGTATTACATCATCTCTTTTTGTATTTACTCTTCGTTGCAGGAATGGCATTTTTAGGGAAATCATCTTGTATCTGCTTCAGCTTCAATGCTGCATCTTTGGGCTTTACTGTGCTGTTAGTTTTACAAAATATTGAAACTAATGATTTCTTATATATTATTCTAATCCCTCTTCTTGAAGATAACAATACTGTTGTGCCCATTGTTTTATGTTTTGCTGTCAATGCAGTATTTAATTGATAAATCTCCGATTCAGCTGGCATGTCAAATTGATTGGGATATCTCTAAATATGTTCTTTCCTCACCTCTCCTGGACCAACATTTTAGCTTAATCGCTACACTTAAACCATCACATTCACAACCACATCTAGAACATTTCAAGCATGTTTCATGGCTACATCATTTTACTTTACACTCAGAACTTAATGTAAAAAAAGAGATCATAATAAATAAAATATATTAAATGATAATAATAATTAATAATATTAATACTCGTAATAAATATGTCTTATTAATTTCACGCCTTTTGTAAATTGTATTAAGTTAGTCACACAACAATTGAGACAGCAATAAGTTTATAGACTTACAATACTAAAATCTGGGGTTTCATTCCCCGCAGTGGACACAGCAGTTAGCCTAATGTGGCTTTGCTGTAAAACAAACAAACAACAACTGAATGGAGAGCAATAAAACATGTGTCTGGTCCAGTGACCTAGGCCTAAAAAATAATGTCAAACTTTTTTATTTCTATTAGAGAAAAAAAAACCAAACCTTTCTCGAATGATTCATTTTTTAGGGTCCATATCAAGATGCCAGGCTGGGTCATGTGGCAGGTGTTAATTTTATTTTATTGATAAACAAGTAGTTATCTTAAAAAACGTTTATAATAAGCACTACGTTTCACTAGGCTTATCTAGCATCATAAAGTAGCAAGCTAGTGAAATGCAGAGTTTTTTACCACTTTATCCATAAATAAATAAATGATTTTTAGATTGACATCTTCTTCCTGTAATTGATAAGTATTCTGTCGGCACAGGAATTGTTTTTGTTTGTAAACTACTAATTTCTTTCAGTGTTTCAAGTCGTCAGTGACACATGTTAAAAGTAAAGGTAGTACTTATAATTTTTCTTGTACTAATCCATTTTATTTTTTACAGAGAAGAAGCCTTTAAAATCCATTACTTAATGGGATTATTAGTGTTTTTGAAATCTTTTTCTCTGCTCTTTCATGGGGTAAGTTTATGACTTCATTCTTTATAATTCCTCAGGTGGCTAATACTTGAGTCTAGCAGAAGGGTTACTTACAAACTCATTTAAAGAGTACTCAGAATATTACTGAAGAGTAAGTTAGGCTTAGTCGGTTTGTATGTAAATAACCAATCAATGAATTATTTATAGTACATGAAAGAGCATTTATTGTGTCTTAATAATAAACATTTGTTGTATTTAGTATAAATTATATAAAACCAGTTTTAAAATACCCATACATTGCAGTATGCTTCCTTGCGAGGGAATGTGCTGAAATGTTTTTTTTTCTTCTTCTTTTTTTTAGTCTTACATTTTGCATGTAATATGACTGTTAAGTAGTTGTGTGTATTAATAAAAGAAGAATGTTAAGAAATAAAATAGATATATAGTTTATATATTTTATTAGGATTCACTTTAGAGTAGAAAACTTTTCACTATCATATAAATACCCATTACTTCTTTCTTTTTCAGATAAATTACTACTTTATAGCACGAGAAGGATTCCACATTGAAGCATGGGCTGTGCTGTTCTACATAACTCATCTGTAAATATAAAATATAAAACATTTTTTGTGCTTAACTCATTGAGTTGTTTTTAATTACCCCATCTGGGGAGAATATTGTTTTCAAAATTGAAATAACTAGAAATATATAAATGCACAAAATGAATCGATTTTAAAAACATTTGGTTTGTAGTCAATTTGTGAAAACGAGTAGAATCAAATTCATTGAGTGTTATACAATATTAACCAAAAGTTAAATGTCTGTCTTTCTTGATTGGACTAATGTTTTTGGCCGTAATTTAATAATGATTCATTTTATACTATGTCAGATGTCTTGAAGTCCGTCCTAATATTACGCCCCGAGTATATCCACATTCGACACAGAAATGTCAAACCTCTGAAAGCACTCAAGTTTATAGATTTCTTTAATATTTGAAAAAAAAACTTTCTTATCCTTTAAAACCTTGTTAAGGTATTCACTTGTCTATTTACAAAAGCAATTTATTGTGGTTATGAGAAGTTGGTCATTAGATGCAAATTTTTAGCATTTAATAATGGGCATTGTATTAGATTTGACAATATACATATGTTAAAGGTAAATACTACGTTTGTAAACAAAATGATAAAAAACCTATAACCCGAGTGGTTTTCAAAGGTGGACATTTCTTCTTCAGGGGAAAAGTGCTCGGGTTATAGGGTTTTTATCATTTTGTATCAAGACTTATTGAACCAACATGTTTTTCTGATACTATGTTTTAAAGTTACACGTTGTAATGTCTTTGTTTTTGTAGCCTGAAAGGAGCATTGCTGTTTGTCACTCTTGTACTGATTGGCACTGGTTGGACATTCATAAAGCACATCTTTACTGACAAAGAAAAAAAAATGTTCATCATCGTCATACCTCTTCAGGTAATATCTTTTGTATGTGAAATAAGTACCTAAACATACAACCATTTTGTATGTATCATTACTGTGAAACCTAAACATACAGCCATTTTGTATGTATAATTACTGTGAAACCTAAACATACAGCCATTTTGTATGTATAATTACTGTGAAACCTAAACATACAACCATTTTGTATGTATAATTACTGTGAAACCTAAACATACAACCATTTTGTATGTATAATTACTGTGAAACCTAAACATACAACCATTTTTAGATACCTCTTATTGTTCTGTTCTTAATTTGTGTTTTGTTTGTCTAAGCACAATTGTCACAGGTCTGTAAAAACCATTATTCTGATTCTTGGCTTGGTGATTTCAGCTAAACTAGTTCAAATATGGTGAGATTTTATATTGAAATTTTATATTTGTTCTCTCTCCCAGATTATCAGTCAAACTTGATTGTTGTTTTTCAGACTTAATTTTAAGGAAATTGGGCAAGCTGAAAACCTTAAAACACCAAGGCAACAGCAGATGAGTAGGGAACAACAATAAAAATAATTAAAATTATTTTTATTGTTGTTTCCTACTCTTCTGCTGTTACCTTGGTG